GCATAATTGAATCCTTTGAATGCATTTGTCAAGAACGTGAAGACCAGTGCCTTTGCACTTGAAGGCAGTGTTGGGCTTCCTGCCACACACAACGACTGTGCATAATACGATGTCTTATGGTTTCTTTCCTGGACCTTCAAAATCGCGCGAATTCCCCCTAGAAAGGACAGCAACATGTTTCACACTATGGAAATGAGTCGTAGGGCTATGTTGAAGCATGATTCAAGAAAGATGATGCAGACAACCCCAGGTGCAACACAACTGGTGCACAGCACTTGGCAGCCTGTAGCGAAAAAGGAGGCACTATTCCACAGCTAAGAAATGACTGGCTCCAACCTATCTGCCTGCCTGCCCATGGTGTTACGTATCTCCTCCTTCACATTCTTTTGAAGATTGGCTTATTTGTGCACAACTGGGATAATGCATTGTGGAAACACACTGTTGTACTTCATGGCCTTGTGCATGCCCAAGCATGATTTGCCAAAGTCAGGAAGCGTGTCTGAAAGAAATACGCGCAGGTGTCCTTCAGCATAGCCAACCATGTGAGAGAGCTTCCAGACCTCACATATGCAGCCAAAGTCAGCATCCTGCCCAATGCCACAAAAGAAGACCTGACAGGGGCATGGAAGCACTGGATGGAGCAGTACAGTAAGTGGAAGGGTCTGGAAGCCTGCTTGTGGGCGTCAGCACTCAGCCTTTTTATGTTCAACAGCATGACGCAAGTCATTGCGGTTGGCATGGTTTCCCTGCTGGGCTTCCTTCTTGGAAGGGACGCCATCCCAGATTCTTTGCTTGAGATGAGCACCACTCCTCAAAGTGGAGGGTCACGCACGGTTGGAGAATCACCCACAAATTAGACAATCAGCGGTGTAAGAATGTTTCATAACACCTGGCATGTCCATGCTGCATCTCCAGAATACAGGTGGCATAATGTTACTGCTCTTGCAGAATATGTGGTGCAGTGGTGTGGGTTTACTGTGCACTGTGCTCGTGCCATAGTTTGGGACAGAGCTGTCAACCGACACATTTTGGTTTCCTGAAAGCTGACCAGCGATATGTTCAGACATGATTCATCAACGTTTTTTTCTATATGACAAAGCAATGCATAAGCACCAGAAGGTGGCGTTAGATAGTTTTCGCATTTGCACACAAGTGTTGAGTCCAATTGTGCCTTGAGCAGCTGGCCACAACCAAAGTATTGACGCTGCAATTAAGCGGTTTTCATGCAAGATTAATGTAACTCATTTTTAACAGGAGACTGCAAGTTTTGCCTGCATGCCTTGCAGCTCCTTGGATTCCTGACGCGAAATCCACATTGATGGCATGAATTAAACACGAAAAATTGCTGACCTTGTGCTTCTGGCTATTGCGAAAATCCAAGGCAGTGGCATGTGACACAGCTGCCCTGGCATGTCATGCTGGGGCTGGGGTTTGGGGGGAGCCTGTTTGCGAATGGGCAATTTCGCCTGTCTTGACAAATGGATTCAGCGATGGATGTTTGTTCCTTGGTGTGCAGTTGCTGAGTCAGGAAACGTGCCACCTGGCAATGCGCCAGGCGAGAAGAAGTGGCAGACGCGCAGGGTGAGGCGCGCAAGGCCAGAAATCAAACTGACCCCTGGCAAGGGGATCGAAGACCTGACCTGCAGCGTGGAGGATCTGGTGGATCGGGTGGTGAAGGACAACAAGGTGATTTATGTGTCTGGTGACTCGGGTCGCCTGAAGCTGGACAACAAGGTGATTTATGTGTCTGTGACTTATTCGCCCTAGCTGGTTTCTTTTCTCAATTGCACTTACCTTTGCGTCCACAAAGCGACGGACATTGGCCTTTGCAGTGTCTGCTCCCAGAATGGGCATTAATGTCTCAAACAGGACATCGTTGCCAACAACTGGCCAGCAAAAGGATGGAATGCACAATTCCTGGAGGGGAGCCAAGTGTTCCATCATTGGTCCAATTTGTAGTCAATGTAAATGAAAAGGTCCTTGATTGCCCTTCAAAGAAAACAACGCAAAGCCAACGATGTTCTGGTACCCACTCTTTGAGTGTTCGTGCAGAGGCTGCATGACGTCATCCATCAACACTGACAGCTATTACCGTATTTACCCGGTATTAGTAGGCACACCCTTTTAGTATCCACCCCCATCTTTGGGGGTCGAAACCACGTTAGTATCCATGACCCGGTGTTAGTATCCACCCCCAAACCTTAATAGCAACGAGCTCAAGAGGGCTTGTTGGACTCGCCTTGGGGAGAGGAAGCTATTTTGCATGTCTTTGCTTGTGCAGCACTCTTGTTGCATGCCTTCGATGTGCAACAGCTGCTGCAAACAGCTCACCCTGTAGTGCGATGAACTTGATGGCTGCAAGCTCCACAGCTTAAGCAGCTGATGATTTGGGAGAGGATTCAGAGGGTGTCGATGAAGATTTTGATGGCTTTGCATCAGATATGGATGTGGACAGCGATTGATTGTGAATGCGTTTCTGCGTTTTTGGTTGGGATTGTGTAATTTTGACTTGGTGATGTGGCTGTTGCTGTATTGCATCTTGCATTTTTTCAAGCCTATTTTGGGGCATTTCATCTCCTATTTTTCAAAAATTTCTTTGTCTACTCCTTGGATGGGGGGTTCCAAACTATGTTAGTATCCATGACCCACTGTTAGTATCCACCGCTCAATTTTGGGGTCCAATACACGCCTACTAATACCGGGTAAATACGGTAAGTTAATACATTTGCGGGCTGTTGACTGTCACTTTCCATCCACAAATGCAGCCATTCAATTCAAGCCAAGCCCTCAAAGCATAAAAGGCAACGAGCCAAAGACTTGCCAACCACCTGAAGCACTGCCTCAGATTCCAAGCACGCTGCCCCATGGCCAACCGCTCAAGGCACACCACCACACCTCAATACACTCCCTTGCCTGAATTCAAGTCAACCCAAAATTGCGCTATCTATCCTGGCAAGCAGTGTTTAGCAATCATGCTTCCATTGGTACAAACACACAGTTTGCAGCAATTTATTGCAGCTTGGAAATCAAAAGAATATATGTTGAATAGGCATTACTTCCTGATACATTTGGGGTGGCTTGTGTGCATTGTGGCCGATCCTCAAGCCCCGGCCGATTATAATCCTCATTACTTGCATGTCTCAATACGCAACAAGCTCTCCTCTTTCGCATGTTTGGCGATGTCGGTCATGCCGCCACTTAATTTCAGTTGTATTGCTGTGGACAGGTGGTAGCGTTCATCAAGGGGACTCGAACAAAGCCTGAATGCGGATTCTCCTACCAAGTGTTGACCCTCCTCAACAAGAGCCAGGTCGACTATGAGGTCGTGAATGTGTTGGACGAGGTGCACAATCCTGGCGTCAGGGACGCGGTCAAGAACTACAGCCAGTGGCCCACAATACCTCAGGTGGGTGCCTCAAGGCTCACTGCTGTGTAATTCAGCATGCTTTGCAGCTGGTTAATAGACCGATTAACAGTATCCGAGAAAAGCCTGCCCATGAGTCTAGGTGGCACCATGAGCAATCGGGAATGAACAGCGATGCTTGCCTTCAGCACCTCATCCCCCGACTGCTGCCTGCAGCGCCTGCAGTGTCCAATCGAATGCAATTTGCTCAAAGAATGAATTGATCAAAAATTGTGCCCACATATGTAGTCATCTGTTGTACTAGTTATACCCACCAGATGATACTGGGCGCTGTTCCACAAGTGCGAGTGCACTTGTGCACCCCTTTAGCGTGTTCGTCCCACTAATTCCTGCAGAGATGCCGTTGCCTCACCCAATTCATCTTGCCATTGTGGTGGCGCCGCATATCGCACGTGAGAACTGCGTCCATGCAAGTGTGCAGCAGATGCACTTTCTGTGTGATTCAGTTCAAACAATGTTCACACTGTTAGCTGGTTAGTTCCACCTAAAGTGCGCTGCAGGGTCTCGGCTGTGCAAGTATCGTCTTACTGCAGCTGCTGTAGTTGCTGTAGAATTTGGCGTTACCTATGTACTGGTACAAGCAGCAACGTGTGTGGGTGCTTTTTGCAGCTGTGCGGAAACTTGCGGCGTGCTTGTGTGACATGGTCACAGCCCCTAACAGAAGTCTTTCTCATGGCCCTGTCTTTCAGGTGTTCGTGGATGGTGAATTGATTGGAGGCGCGGACATCGTCACAGAGATGGATGACAAAGGCGAATTGGTAAATGTCCTCACGGCGGCAACAGCAAAGTCATAGAACACTGCCACATACGCGTGGGCGCAAACATTATTCCTTGTCATGCCATCCGACCTGCCCCAGTCCCATGCTGTATTGAGAAGATGTTCCCTCTCTTTGCCGAAATGTTCCTTTCCATCGGACGACCTTGGACTGGAGGGGCAGCTTCTATGGGTCAAGCGAGAGGACAGAAAGAACCAAATGATCTGTGGCTGCAAAAACTCTGCAGTTGGGGTCCCCTACTTGGGAGAGGTCGCGTCGGTTTGGCACGGTGTTGTGTGATTTGGAATTTTTCATTTTCATTATAATATGACTGGTTGATTGTTTGGTGGTGTTGCGTTCAACGCTCCACCGCTTATGCCAACCGTTTCCTCGGGCTGCCAAAACGCGCCTGCAGCAGAAGTCGAATTCCCGTAGCAGAGCAAGTCTGATTGTTGCGAAGCGCTTGGGAGAGGAGGTGGTGGGGGGTGGGGGTGGGGGGGGGGGGGAGATTGTTGTGTGGGATGTTTGAAGCTGCAGCCTAGCTGCACTGCATGCCCCACAGCCGCATGCCAAACTCCGCTGGGACATATCTCAATCTTTGCTCGCCAGCGACTGCAGGGCTTCCGCGTCGTTTGAGCAAACATAATGCAATTGAAGCCGGAATATGGTGGAAAACCTACTCAGCCATGACCCGCGCTTGATGTTCTGCCCCATCTTTCAAGGGGAAAGTCAGGCTGGATAGACCATCAGTCCTTTTACAGTCGTTCTGAGGACTTTTTTGAATTGGTCTAGGGGGACAGCACGCAACCCAGTGGGCTGTGCTCCCACACCAAAAAGAGCTGGCGGTGCAAAGAAATTGACGGCTGTGGGGTTGTCGCTGATGTTGCTGCATCAGACAAGGTGTCAGGAACTGGGATCGCTTTTAAGTGGCAGCCGCCAGTTGCCTGTGAAACAACACCCCTGGATGGGTGACGGACTGGACACTTTGGGGCCATGTAGTGTGGCACCCATGGCTGCACTTGGTGAGAACACCCCCGCTGCACACATGCGGCGCGATGGCATTAATGCGTTGTCATGGAATCCGCAGTTGGTCTCAGCCGTAATCGCGGATTTCCAAATAAGGGCAAGCCAAGATGCCTTGAGGGATGTTTGAGGGCTATTGTAGGAGAAACGGGTACACACCAAAGCTCCACGACCCACTGCGATTTCCAGCCCTGCAAATTCGTCATAGTAAGAAACCTCGTGCTACCTCCCAACCTGTCCCCTCATGGAGGCTCTACAGAGCAAACATCCATTCGACGCATCTTACACGTGCTGGTACATTTTTCAGATCACATATGATCCAACCATGAGTGGCCCCAAGCAGTGGCTCCCGCCCAAATGTTCCCTGCACAACGTGGCGAATCGTTTGTTGAAGCAGACCGCATCTCAGCGCCACCCACCGCCTAGCAATTGTAGGTGCCACACCCAACAATCGACGCCCATGCACACCTACTTTCGCCAAACCCGTCCTCGACCCGTCCTGCCGCCTCTCTCCGCCCTCCCCCCCCTCTCTCCCCTTCCCCTCTTTGACACGCCCCCGCCCCTCCACCGCCCCCCAGACGTGTTCTCCCCGCGTTTTCTCCACCCGCCCTTGCCGCCGCGGGGTTGCGGCCCGCCACCCCGCCCACCGCCTCCCCCCCTCCCAGGGATCTGCACGTGGACAGCCGAGGGGCCTGGTACCACCTGTGTGATCATGTTTCCCCCCTGGCCCATGTACTGGTTCCATGGCATGACCTGCCCCGACTGCGCCCGGCTGGCCGTGTCGCCACCAAAGTTCCCCCTCGGCCGAGGGGCATTCAGGACGGATGGGCCAGAGGGCCCTCCCCCGATCACGATCCCGCCGGGCTGCGGCAGCCCGTCCAGCCTCACCTGCTGCTGTGGCACCACGTTCTGGAAAGACACCCCGGGCATGCCCACGCCAGCATGCTGTGGGTGCTGCACCTGCCAGGGGCTCTGCACAATGAGCTCCCCAGGGTTGCCGCCCACGTGCACGACAGGACTGCGCGACGGCTGCTGGCCCATCTGCACGCCACCCTGGGGCAGCTGGGACACCACCACCACCCCGGGGCCGACCTGCCTGGGCCTTTGCCCGCCAATGGCCTGGCCTTCCATCTGCATGGCACTGGCCTGTGGTTGGCTGGACTGTAGCATCGGGGGGGCCAACAACACATTGCCACCAGTCTGATGGCCTTTTCCTTGCAAGGGGCTGGGTTGGCTGCCTCCCAACTGCTGGGGCCCACTAGGCCTGGTGGGTGCACCCACCAGACGTCCATGGGCTGGGAGCAACATGTTGGGCGGTGGCTGGCTCAACGGGACGATCCCTGCAGGAGGTGGCGGCCGCTGCTGCTGTTGGGCAGAAAGGGGCAGTCCGGACGGCTGCACAGGCAATGGGTACGGCCCGCTCCGGCCAATGTCGGGCAGCTCCTGCAGCAGGCTGCCCAGCCTCGGGTCATTCAGCGTGTCGTGCAGCAGGCTCTCCAGCCTGGGGTCTTTCAGCAGGTCGTCGGGCGGGCTCACGAGGCGTGGCTCCTTGGTGCGGGGCTCAGTGTGGATTGCGGAGGGAGGCTGAGTTGGCGGAGGCGCAAAGGTGAGGCGGTCCCTCCGTGGGGGTTGTGGGGGGGCTGCTGTGCGGGCGCCACGATGCGACTGGGCCTTCCGCATGTGCTGCCGCTGTGGAGCTGAGGGGAGCTGGCCCCTCGGAGGGGTTGGAGCTGGGGTCTCTGTCTTTGGGAACGGGGCTCGTTGAGCTCGCGATGGGCCAGGTGGACGGCCGCCAGAGGGGCCGTGTTTCCCTGCAATGTGCAGACACATGCAGCTGGTTGCAACTGCTCTTCTTCAAACCAGTTGACTTCAAGTGACAGACCAAAGGGCACAATGGCAATGAACACTGACAAACCCAAGGCTGTTGAATCGCCTTTGTTTCGGAACCTGAATTTCAAGTGCATCGGCATCTGCTGCAGTTGTTGGTGGGGGCAATCAACATCGAACTGCAGGACCAGCCCACCATTCCCATTGTGGAAATGCGCATCGCAGGTGGCAACATCGCCATGCTGGCAGTCAGCGGACTGTTCAGCACTCCCATCCAGCTGTGAATCTTGTCACTGTGGCGACTTGCAAGGCGTTTTTCTACCAACGTGTCCTATGTGGAGGGTCAGTCCACAGTTGTCCGATGACAGAGCCACACCCGCCAGGCCATGGCCATGCAATAGTTGTGAGACGTTGGCACCCATAGCCGACCAAAGCTAACCTATTCTCGAGCAGTGGGATAGAAATTATGGGAATTGAGGCACACTACACTTCAAGGGAATTGAGTGCACGTTTCATGGCGATTCAAGACGATCACAGAAAGCGACATCTTCAGGACCCAAAACAAACCTCGGGGATGCGCATCCGCAGCCTTGGGCTCTGCCTTCAAGGGCTTCAGCATCCTCAAGAGCTGCTGCATGATCGGGCCCGTCACCTCTGAGCCACCCTCGTCAGGGACATTCACCATCCCCAGGTTTAGCTGGGCATCAAACAAGGCCCGCAAGAAGCTGGGCTTGTCCACCAGCGACTCACGCACGACTTTTGGGTCCAGATGCACCGCCTCCTTCACTTGCCACATGACCTCAAGGAGCTGCGACTGGTTCATGTTATTGACGACGTCGGCAAGTGTGGCATCGTCTTGAGGACCCGTGGTTGGAAAGCCAGGCTGCTTACAGGAACACAAGACTGTCACTCTTCAAGCACGCCAATAACATCTGGTACGACTCTGCGGTTTGCACACTCGGACTCTGTAGGTGCCAGAACTGCTGGGCTGTTACATTCACCAGAACTGCCAATACACTGCCATTTCAACTGTTTGGCCATTTGTAGGTCCTTTGCAAATGTACAAGATTTACCTCCAACCTGTTGCATTCCTGGCCCCGCATGTTGAGCTGTAGTGCCTGTTGGTCCTCTGAAAACCCCATACTAACGGACAAAAACAGGCCAATCACCTAGAAGGAAAGGATGCGCAGGACCAAACTGCTCCAGCTCTACAACAACGCAATGCTTGGCGAATTCTGCGAATTGCATGTTTTCAATCCAAGCAAACGACCACAAGCTCCTAAAGGCAATGGAGGTATGTCAGGCACATTGCACAGCCGCTCACCAGTGAACTCATGAGGCCCTCAGCAGACTCAGGCACTGCCTTGGGTGCACCTGTAGATTAGCACAGGGCTGTCAGCCTGTTAGCTTTTGGTCATGATACTCAAACCATCGCCTGCAGGATGTGCACATGAAGGTGTTCAGAACGGCCACAGCTGCAGATGACCCATGTTGCCCTCCAGGCGTTTGTTCAGTGGCTTTTCAACTGGATGTACACACAGTCCAAGTGAAATTTGTGCAAATGAAGAGCTGGGCAAGTGCGGCCATTAAGTTGAGTCTGCATATATGACAGCGGTCGGCCAGCCGGCCAGCCAGCCGGGGAGCAAGCTACATAGTTGTAAACATGGCTGCAAAGACATTGCCACATAAGCCATAGGCCAAAATCTGGAGGGACTAACTGCACAGAACATGCACTGTAGCGCATTCAGACCCTCCTGATCAAAGATGCTGTTTGGGGTAATACGTCTTGCGCTGAGGCGTCCCAACAACCTAGGCCATTGTTTGTCCAAGGGTCTCCAACAAGGTAGGTAAACAAGACTCAAGGGTAGAAACGCCATCGCCAAGCGAGTGAAACGGTTCCCATGGCAGTGGAGGTGAGGAGGAAACTTCTTTTGTTGTCACTTCTGTGTGGCAATTCTGCAGTGGTATCCTTTCAGCCATGGACTAGCAAACATGTTCAAATAAGGCACAAACCTGCATGGTCTGCATTGTCAACAGACAAATCTGTGCATCTTCTGCATGTCGTTGAACACAGCAGGCATATGAATCAATACTTTGCCAGGCAATGGCTTCAAAGCACTCTCTGTTGATACTCCAGCCAATGAGACAACAAACAATGAAAAATGACTCGCTTTTGCACACAGTAGGTTCACATGGAACACGCTGACACCAAAAATGAGCAAGTACCCAGGCTGCGGATCTCTTGGAGATCCACTACCATAGGATGAAGATGCAACGCCTTCAGCTGGGGCAGTACTCATGCAAATTGCCTGGCGACAGCAGATTTTTCTTGGTGCCAACATGGGCACATGTTGACGCACCATTTTCTTTCCCCTCCTCTTGGGTTGCCAATTCAGGCATTGTTGAGGACACCTCAACCAGGAAACGCACAGTGATGGACTGCTCTTGGATAAGGGCCCCATCCAGATTTCTCCGAGCACTCTGTGCTGTTGGCATGTCATAATACTCACAGATTGCAGCCAGGTTGCTGCCTTCCCCTGTGATCAGCCTGGAGAATGGCGATGACAGCGAATAAGGCAAACAGGGTTTTGCACTCAGCAGTGGGCCAACATTGTCACACAAAAGCGCAGTAAAGTTCAATCCTAAACGAACATGTTGGCATTGATTATCCTACTCTATGGTTTGGTTATCATTGCCTGGATGTTCTGATGCACTCCGAATCTCAAAATCTACTGCTACAACATGATGATGGCATAAACTCTTCTTTTGATCATCAATGAGCCAGCAGCAACCACAAGCCACTCGTGATTTGCAATCTTTTGCCACCAGCTTCCCAACAGCCAATTGAATTGCAGTCGTGCAGACCCCAACTTGCAGCCCAAAACAGGGCCCTTTTCCACCCAGTAGAGAACCTGGCTGTTGAAGAGAAGGCTTGCAACTGACTCTAGAATTATCACGACCTCAATGAGTGCAAGACTTTAAGGTAGCTCCCCAGCCATTGTAATGCCACACCAATGTGGTCATATGGCATGCCTCAGTGCAACTTCAACGACCCTCAAACTTTATAATCGTAGTTTCTGTCAAGACCCTGATTCGCTTTGCATTGTGAAGCAAAGGTTATCCAAATGAATCAGTCCTCCCATAAGGCCCGGCGGGGAGAGGAGATCCGTCTCAGTGCAACGGCCTTTATAGACGATGGGCACACCACTATGGGGCACGCCCAGGGTGCCCAATCAGAGCCCCAGCAGTTTGCCTTCATGTTCCAAAGTCAAACCCAAATTGACACATCCAAGGGATTTGCTGCAGGGTTCGTCATCAAAGTGCTGCTAACACCAAAACTCTTCAGGAGAAGGTGCATCGAATTGTCTGCCTCTTGCTCTCCTGATCAAAGATGGAAGAAACAGCACCCAGTAGTTTGGCAAGTGATGAATTGAGTCAGCTGATGCTGACAAACAGGGGCAACTGTTAAAATCGTTGTTTGCAAGTTCGACACTCTTTGGAGACTTGCAGTGGCGCATGCAGTCACTCAGCAAGTTTGGGGTGGAACACGGATGGTGGCAGAATGGACGAGGATCCTGCCAGGTGTGAGGGCACCTGTTCAAGGCCACCCATGACTTGCGCTAACACCAGCAGCCCTTTGCCTCCCTCTGGTGCTCACAAATAGATGGGCTCACTATGCTGTCCTGATCGGACATAAACCGCATGAAGAGTCTCTGAAGGGCTGTAGCGGACTGCGGACATTCAGGGAGTACAAAACTCACTATGACAATCCCTGTCAAGGGTGATATCCATCGTCGCTGGATAACAATTGGCGAAAATGAGGGACAAAGAACGCTTCTGGCACCGGCTGTAGGGTGTCAGAGCCCCTTATTGTCTTGTCGAAGGCAAATATAAGAAAAGACATTTAGCCATCAGCCGCATCCATCGCGCCATAACCCAAGACGAAAGGCCATGCCTCGTTTCAAGGGGTTCTCTGGCATATCTTGGTCCTGCGTTTAGCCCCAGCACTCCGCAACTCAAATGGAGATCGCGAGCTGCCTCACCTCAAGCTCTTCACGGGTCCGACCTCCTCCAAGACATCCCGCACCTCGGCCTCACTGACTTCGGCAGGCAAGTTGTTTACTATGGGAGCCACACAGCTCTGCGTCAAAGGCGTCCGCGCGATCGTTGGACAATTGGCAGGGCGGCAGAAGCTGCAGAACAACAACGTTGATGCCGCGCCGACAGAGGTTGTATCCACTCCCAGCACGGCAGCATTGCAGATGAGCGCTCGCTCAGGCGCAATGCAGGAAGCGGCGGCACCACAACTGACTGGCTTCTTTGCTCCAGGACGCCAATCGAAGCACAGAAGACGACAGTTCCCTGATTCAACTCAAGCGCTCTCTGCGACTGCGCGGTGAAACAAAACCCGATCCAGGTGCCCCAACGCGACAATGAGAACAGGAATTGAAGCCGCCAGGCGTGGAGACAGCATGTTGGCCGCGCTGCCAACAGGTGCGTGCAGTCCAACAGCCCCCCGCCATTCCGGTTCAGGCGATCCCCGCGCTCGCGGCGCGGTGCGCCAATCCCTTCAGATCCCCCCTTCCCTTTGGGGGTGGGGCTGGCTGGGCGGATTCTCGGGGCCCCAGGCGCCCGAACACCCGTCTCCCATCAGGGCTCGCCGCCGCGATCGGCCCCCGCGGGCCGGGGCACTCACCGTGCAGCCTGGGGTCGGCCGCCTCGCGTCCCCGGGCGGCGCCGCCCACCCCGTCCGCCATGCGCACGCAAAGCTGGGGGCGGCAAGCGGAGTGGACGGAACGAAGGAGGACAGAAAGCAGGGGGCTCCGGCGGGCACAAGAGAAGCAGGCCCAAGGTCCTCCGATCGAGGGGGAGCAGGGCCGGCAGAGTTCTGCCAGCCGCCAGCAGGGCCTCAGGCGCGCGGGACGCAGGTTGTGTTCGCCTGTAGGTGATGCGCAGAACTCCCCAACCAGCTCATCCCGTGCCCGGCAACCCTTCTTCGGGTTCTCCTTCCGCCGTTTTCTCAGGTCGCACATGCGGAACAATGTCTCCGTGCAGATGTCAACAGTGGCGTCGTGTGGGTGCGACTGCAGCCTCACGTCAGCGAGGCGGTGGGATGCCCGCAGTTCGGGGCCGGTTTGCGCGCCCGGCACCCTGACGTGACTCCGCGAGGCCGCATGGCTGCCTGAGGGGGGGCCGATGTTGGGCCTGAGTGCCGTGAACCTAGTACCGACTGCGCGCGGCGCACGCGGGGCGTGGCCGGGCCCCGGGGTACAAAAGGAGGCGGAGTGGGTGCTCGCGCTCCGTTAATTGACGGGGCACACCCACCCCACCCCCCCGCAACCCCGGTGGAGGGCAGAGAAGGAGGGGCTGTGGAGAGGAGGGGGAGCACGGAGACGGAGGAGGGAGGGCAGGCAGGCGCGCGCCGCGCGTAGCTACTCCGGCATGCCATCGCTGCCCGCCGATGACCCCGGGACCGCGCGGATCCTGCCCGGTGCCGACGAGGCCAAGGTGTGCGGGGCGATTGGCCGGGGCCGTCGATTGGACTGGACCTGGCGCGCACAATCATTGCTGCCTTGGTTGCTGCTGTGCTCGCCGCGCTCTCTGCTCGCGCCGCGGGCTGCCTGTGGGTGCATCTTTCGACAGCCTGTGCCGAACGGTACCCTCCCTCCCCCCTGATCTCGCCGATCCTGGCCGCTGATGGCGCTCTGGATGGGAGTGCGGGGGTCGTGGGGAGGAGGTTGGGGGGGAGGGGGCCTCGGCGGGGTGCGGGGGGCCCCCGGCGGATGGCGCCCGCGGCGCGGTGCGGGGCATGGTTGCGTGGGGCCGGGGAGCGCGTTGACGTCAGGGGCAATACTTCATGTACGACGGGCACAGCGCGGTCGTCCCCTCCACTGGGCTCGCTCGCTCCCAGAAGGGATGGCCGGGTTCAAGAGCGGCGGCGACGTCCTTGATCAGGACTGGCGCACGCGGCGCTCGACACGTTCGACATGCCGTCGGCGCGTCGACCCAGACTCGTCCCCATCTCCCCGCCGGCGTCGGCGCCGATCGAGGGAGGCGGTCCGGCTCCGGCGCCGCGGCCCGTGGGGAGCGAAGCGGTGGGCGCGGCGGCCTCCCGTTCCGTCCTTCCGTTCCGTAGCTCGCCTCGTCCAGGCGAACGGCGCGTGGAGAGCCCTACCGTCGGTCCCCCCCGTCGCGGGTCAGTCGGCGGGCCGTCGTCGCGATCCGACACGAGGATCGTCGCCCCACGCCGACCCACCCGGCCGTGTCAGGTGGGAGAGTCGGGATGACGGCAGCCCGCACGAGACGGGAGACGAGACGGAGGAAGACGGAAAAGCAGGGACAAAAGTGCTGGCCATTGCTGGTGGGCCAGTCATCAGACCGTCATGCCCGCGGCGACGGAAGTCTTGAGAGTGTTGTGTGCCATGTGCGTCCCCGCAGATGATCGACGGCAGCCCGGTGGCCGCGGTCGCGCCGGCGAAAGCCGCGGACACCGACGACACACCCGCAAATGCCATGGACGATTCCAACCTGGCCGTTGGCGAGGCCGCCGCAACGCCAGTCAAGGTGCGATCGGCGGTCGAGTAGCCGGCGCGGCTTGCCACGGTGTTGGCGGCTGGGTGCGCGTCTGGGCAGCGACGAGATAGACGACGAGCGACGTCGCGGCGCATGGACGTTGTAACGCTTGTAGCGTCGCGACATGCATTGCAATGCACGCGGCGGTTTGTGGGTGTGCAATGGGCGCGTTGTGAGCCGTGTCAGCTGCGATTGGTGAGTGGCGCGGTGGTCGGCCGATGGTGCTTTGCGCGTGACCCGTAACGGGCGCGCCTGGACCTCAGAAACGCGCTGCCGGCCAGGTGTGCTGCATTTGAAGAGCGCAGGCCTCGATGGGCGGCAGGCGTGAGTAGAACTCACTCGACCTCGCTCATGCTCCGCTTGCCCGTTGCCCGCAGTACACTGCGCAGTCCACTTGCGCGGTCGGACTGTCCGGCACGTGCCACGGGAGTTTACATATATGTATAAAACGCCCTTCGCCAGTCGTTTGAAACCTCCTTCGCCGTTCTCTTTCCCAGCGGTGAATATCGGAGCATGGCGGTCGTGCGCGTCAGGGCCGCTTCTGCGGGCACAGTGCACCGTGGGAGCACTTGGGCCCTCAGGAATGAGGGAGCCTTGCAGGGAAAGATGCTGCAAGTAGGAAGTGCTGAGTATGCAGACTTCACATCATCTCCTGCGGTGTGGAGCTGAACTGAACCGATATTCCTCACGACTATATTTCCCTCGGAGCAGCACAAAGCCGGGCCACGCGCCATATCAGCACTTGAAGAGTGGGGAAGGGCATGGGAGAGTTTATGCTCAATGTAAGGCTCATTTCTCTTCCACTGTTTAGCAATTTCTGGCAGTGGACCTCGAGAGGGCATTCCTTTCTTGTGTTCGTTCCATGTGCTCCGCATATGACTCTTCATCTCTTGTTCTTTCAGGAACAACCCAGGGACGGGGCCAAATTCGCGAACGGGGACGAGGAAGTGGCCACAGAGGAGCCCCTACCCAATGCCGGAATGACAGACGTGACACTCAGGCTGCTGGTGCCTGCCTCACGGACAGGGAGCATAATTGGAAAGGTGCAGCTTCCCTCCCTTATACATTTGTTTCCTCAACAACGTGTGTGCTGAGCAAGAGAATTGTGGACATTCATATACTGTCTCCCTACACTTGTGCATAGAGCATGTACCTGACATGTATTGGTAGTTGGTCGGTGTGCTGTCTTTAAGCTCCCTGCCAGATACCTGCAGTATGGAGTCCACTTCCTCCCCTTCCCAGCCACACCCTATAGGCACCGGCGATTGCCTTCTGACCAACACAGCACTCGAAACTCTGCCAGCTCTGAGGAATCCTTGCTTTTGACCCTCCCTCTCAGGGTGGAGAATACATTCAAGGCCTACGCCAGTCAACAGGTGCCAAGATCAAGATTGCCAACACAATGCCGGGTTGTGATGAGAGGGCAGTGCACATAACATCCCCAGAGAGGTACTATCTGCGACCTGCCACACTGGCTGCGACTCTTTGGGGGTGTTGGGCTGCTCTTTGTCCGTGTCCAGGAGCCCTTGGGGTTTGAACATTGCTTTTGTCCCGTGTTGCTTGTGGGTTCTTTCAATGAAGGTGCCGAAAATTGACAAAGCACCGCCATTGTACAGGGCAGTCGATGATGGCCAAATTTTTGCACAGTTTTGGTTGGAAATTGTTGGTTCATTTCGCCTGCCAGAAAATCGCTGCAAAACTGCCTGCTGGCAAGCATGTTCATCATTCCTTTGCAGCACCATCTCTGGCAAGTTTCCACTGTCACTACACAACTGTCACCAACATTGTTATGACAGGTGGTTGTTGGCTAACATGGCAGTTTGCTGCAGTATCTGCAAAAACGTGGTCAGCATTGTTTGTGGTGCATTCTTGCTGAGGGTCCAGTCATCCACTGCGTGCCCCTGAAACCCTCTACCCCAGCGCACCCACCTACCCAATCTTGCCTCATCCACCACCCCACTGTGCACTCTACCCATGCACACTGTGCCTCTTATATACAGCAAGATTGTTTCCCACCTCAAACTGCACATCTCAAGCCCGGACAGTCTAGTGTGCATTCTGCTTGTCATGCAGCGTGCTCCCCAGTTCTGCACACGCATTCATCTTCTGCAAACTTGTGCACCATCTTCCGCAATCGGAAATGGGGCCTTGCAGGCATGAGGTCAGTAGGGGAGTACCCATTATGTGGCCTGCTTCCCTTTCAGTCGACAACACAGCCTTTGGCTGAACCCATCCTGTGCTGTAGCAACGAGGAACTCATCCCTGCACAAGGTGCCATTGTGCAGCTGCTGGAGCGCATCTTCACTGACGAAGTCGATGAAGAGGGTGACAAGGCCAAGGTGATAGTGCGCATGCTGGTAGACAGCTCACAGGTTGGGCCACTACTGGGCAAGGGTGGCAGCGTAATTAACGAGATGCGTGGCAAGTCTGGTGCCCAGATCAGGGTCATCCAGGGAGCTGCAGACTTGCCCATCTTCAGGGGCCCAACAGACCAGCTGGTGCAGGTAAGACCTGCCCATTTGTTACCTTGCTTGTTGACTTTTGCTTCATGCGCATCAGTCTCACACCTAGACAGCCAAGGGATTTTGAAAATCGTTGTCATCAGGAGGGCACAGCTTGGAGTCTGTTGTCAGCAATGAGGTGTGCATTTCTTGACTCTGTTCTCCTTCCTTGAGCGAGCTTGACCTCTGGTAGGCATGTGTCTTCCTTGATTCACAACGGGCAGCAACAATGCACTGTCCTGTCATGTGTCCTGTGCCAGGAACCCCAACAGCAGTTGCCTGCCTTGCCAGTTTCTGTGTGCATCTCCAGGCCCCCCTCTCTTTTACGTCTGTCCAGTTGCCTGTCTTGGCTGTTGTTCCCCTGCCTTGCCCCTACAGACATTGTCCCTTGCAGCACATTCAGCCCCTGCTTACCCCACTGTGCATGTCCCACAGATCACGGGGGAGTTCCCAAAAGTGAGGTCAGCGCTGGCACTCGTGTCCCAGCGCCTCCGTGAGAACCCACCCCGCGTACGCCCAGGCACCCATCCCGCCAGCTCGTACCCGCGGCCGCTGGGCAGCATGGCCATGCTATTCCCCATCCCCCCAGCCCTGATGGGCACAGTGCAGGCCAGCGCTGGAGTCCTGTTGGGCTTCAACGGGCTGGTGGAGGCCCAGTACAGGATCTTTGTGCCGGACACAAAGATTGGATGCATCATTGGGAAGGGAGGCGATGTGAGTGGCTGGACTCACGTGTGTTGCTTGCTGTGCCCTGCCCGCTAAGGATATCGCACAGAGGTCTGGATTTTGAGTCTGTGTATGGCTGTGTGCTTGTTCTGATGCACTCAGAAGCTTGTGCAGCTGCCCTTGCAGCATGGGAAAGGCAGGCCCAGGTCTACTAGCTAGGGAAGATGGTGCTGTACTTCTGTGTATAATCGTTAGCTGTGCACATCAAGGTTCTCAACGCTTGTCTTTAGTTTCAAGAGCAATGGCCGTGTGACTCATCAGCGAAGTGTTGCTGCTGCACATCACCACAGCTGAATCGTTTGATTTATTTATTGTGCAACCAGCTCCACAGCAACAGTATCACATTGCAACACATCCATGTGGCAATGAGCTGCCGATGTTGGTAGTGCCCCGCCGTTGTTGTGGATCATCAGAATGCCAGACGGACATCGTGGGCCCCTACCAGAGGTGTAGGCAAGCTGCTCGGCTAGTCAGATGTCAAGTTTGGCAGCAAATCTCCAAGCATGTGCACAACACCACACCCAACGCACATCCCTGAGCAGGACCAATATTGATGTGAGCTGCATGCTGCCACTTTCAGGTGATTCGCCAAATCCGTGAGGAGACCAAGGCACGGGTGATCGTCTTCAACCAGGTGGAGGGCTCAGAGGCTCGGGTGGTTATGTGCCGCTCGATGGACGAGGCTCCCACACTGCTGTGCTCTGCCCAGGAGGCGCTATGCAGGTGTCTGTACACCCTTATCCTTGAGGAGGATCGCGCGCAGGGGGGCCAGCACACGGTGAGGATGCTGGTACCCTCGGACCAGGTCGGGGCGGTGCTGGGCAAGAAGGGCAGCGTGATCAAGTAAGTGGAGTCCAAGGTCGATGTGCACACAGAATGGGCATTGCGCATACATTTCAGAGCCTGATTGGCAGTTGCTCTTTCAGGTGTTAGATGATGTTGGAAACTGTTGGTGAGCACAGCTGCTTGTCCTTGATGGCACTGCTGGTATTGGTGGGAAAGGATATTTATCGACTGTAGGCAGGAGGGCCAACTGTGGCCCCCGAAGCCTCTTTTGGGTCTTTGTTTAGTCCTGACAACCTGTGTGCAGCCACCTGCTCATTCATGCATTTATGAAATGCTTCAGGAAGTTGCAGTGCATGTACCACAACTGCCAGGTGCAGCAGTGCTTGTGTGGACAAGGCTCAGCGCCTGCCCCTTGCTCATCCTGGGCCACCTTGGTTGTGTCCAGGCAAATCCAAATGGAGACTGGGGCGAAACTGGTGGTTCAGAATGAAGACATGCCCATCTGCGCCCAGGAGGGTGACGAACTACTGGAGATCCGCGGCCGTGCCCAGAGCGTGATGCAGGCAGTGCAGGCCTGTTGTGCGCTCATGCGCATCAACATGGCACGTTCCCAGGCCAAGGCTGCCTCGGCTGCCATGGGCAGTGCAGCAAATATGCCTGACCACAGCGGACCTATGCACCCAGCAATGGGGATGAGAATGCACCCGGGCCATTTGGCGATGCCCATGCCTGGAATGGGTGCGATGGGCATGATGGGCCCCATCCCAAGGTCGATGCCCATGGCAATGTCTCACTATGGGGCGCCAGCATTGATCGCAGGCCAGGGTCCCCATGGGCCTGGCCTTGTTTTGATGAACGGCGTTGGTGCTCATGGCGGCCATATGGCAATGCGCATGGCCATGACGCCTGCACAAGGGGGTGCTGTGATCGGCTCAGGCGGCCACAACATTAACCAGATCAGACAGGTGTGGCCAGGTAAGAATCGGGCTGCGCAGCTTAGGAACAGCATGAGAGTGTTCTGAGGTGTACAGCATGCCGTGTTTCTAGTGCTCACCAAATATTGCAGCACATTGTGGAGTTAGCAGTGGGTGTTTGTTGCTGGTTTTCTGTTTGTTCTTCGATTCCAGATTCTTTCATCACATGCAGGAGACCAGATCCAACCATGATCCTAATAGAAGAGGTGTGGCCATTTAGTAAGCCACAGTGCGCCGCCAAGAGATATGTGGCCACAAGAAGGATGAGCCACTAGATGAGGAGTGAAAAGATATGCATTCATGGAAGTTCAGTTTCCCAGGTGCCCCTGGCGCGTCAAGGACCACCACAGATTGTATTGCTTCTGTTGTATTCTGATGACCAGATTCTAGAAAAACACATGTGCGAGTCCAGAAACACCCTGTGTGAATCAGAATACATTGAGATGCCAGGAGGGACTAACCTTGTACCAAGGTTTTGTCTCTATTTAGGATGCATTCATTCATTGCAGCTGGTCAAGAGGTGACAAACCTTTCCCTGTGGCCCCACATGGTGATGATATCCTACTGTTTCAAGTAATGCCGTGCTCCAGGGTGCTATGATTGCAAAGCAAAGTGTTCCACTGGGTCTGTGCGTTGCTGCAGTGTTGCGATGCTGGCAAAATATGGAGTAATGTTCAACTGCAAATGCATATTCATGGCATGCCATGTGCCATCATCGGCAGCCCTCTTGCCCTTAACTCAATATGTGGCTGTGCATGTGCAAATCCTTGGCTAGTTATTGGCTTTCTCTTTCTTTTTTCCTTTTTTATCCTGCTTCCTTGTCTGTTTTCAATCTTTTGACTATATTCGCCAATATGGCACAGAACTTGTTCCTCCAAAGGCCATGGTAGCAACATATTCAAACCCAAAGGACCCAAATGAGACCTTAATGGACTCTGTCCCAGACCCAAGACTGATCCAAATTCCTGAAGCGAGTGGTTGAGTGGGGCTTCACCTGTTGTCACAGACTTCTGGCGCCCAGCTCAGGCTGTATGACAACCCACAAGGTGGCGATGACCGCGAGTTGGTCATATCTGGCTTCCCGGAACAGTGTCTGGTGGCACAGAACATGGTGCAGAACTTTTTGTTGGCTGCGGGTCTCCCAGCTCAACCGAGGGCCATTAATGGGTGAGGAGCAGCGCTTGTAAGTGCAGCTCCACACCCTGTCGGGAACAACAACAAGAGGTGAGCAGTGCTGGACAACAGTTTGAAGGTTTGCACAAGACAGGTCTGCCAGAATTCGCATGCAATGCCGGCTGGCCTGGCTTCCGTTGTGTTATGTTGCATCCGCATCATGGTTCGTATTGCACCAGGGCTGGTCTGCATTTTGCTGCCTGTTACAGATCTTCAAATCCTACCACAGGTCCACACCCACCCATATGGGTCAGCTGGAAAACAATATGGAATCAGCTGGAAAACAACGGGTGCTGCAAGCTCTGTGCTGACATGCTGGGCTTGTCTGTTCCCATAGCCGCTTTCCACCCCAAGCCCCAAACCCAATGTGCTGTCCCGGCTGTGGTTTCTTGTGGTTGTCTCACACCTTTGAACTTGCAGCCGGTGCCGTGAAGCTACGTTGGGCGGGACCAAATTTGTGCAAGTCTTACCAGGAGAATTGCTGTAGATGGCAGCAAACCAATCCACCACAATGCAAGTTCCTCGGCGGGAAGCTGCCACCCTTTTGATGAACTTTCCTGATCTCTGTGATTGGCCTGTGCTAAATGTTGTTTGGTAGGTGATGACGGGCTTCCCTTTTGGCAGTACTTGGTGTTGATTGTATCTGATAAAATACTACACGTTGCCAGGTGCCGTTTGCATCCAAGAGCCTTGGTTCCCTTGCAACTGTTATCCGTCCGCCAAGTCGCCAATGTTCGCGCCTGTAAGCAGGACAAGAAGTGTCCCCAAATGCACGTTGGTGGGTCATTTGGCATGCTGCAGAGCAGAGCGGCCTGCACGTAACCTTGCCCAGTGGTATTCGCTCTGCACGCAGCAGGAAATGTTGGCCAGAGGTCTTATCCTTGGTGCTTCTCAATGTGGTCGGCCTTAATCAGGGATGGGGCTCGAATCCCAGCCTGTCCATTGCATTGGACGAAATTTGACAACCGTAGCCCTTGCACCGGAAGGCCATGGAGTGTGCGGTTCCTTCAAAATTGTACTGGATTGTTTTCATTTCCCCTCGTGCAAGGAACGTGCGTTTGTCCTTTAGGCTCTCATTGTTCGGCCACATGTATTCGTGAGATGTGGTGTTGGAAACTATATCGAAACCTGCCGTTCTGGTGGGTTTGAATATGTTGACTGAATGAACAAGGCATGACGGGCAATTTGCAGTTGGTATGGGTAGCATCGACGCAGGGCCTGTCTAGCGAATTTGGTACAGAGGCATTGCACCACCGCCTGCAAGAGGAAGACTGCACACCGATCCAGACAACTCTGCAGATAAAATAGAATAAAAGCAGAAAAAATAAAAACAAAAAAAATAACGAAATGGAAGAAAAGAATAAAAGAAATAGGATAAAAGTAGAATAAAAATAGAAAAAAAATGCTGCTGCTGATGATGATGATGAACTCTGCAGGCACGGCCGCAGGAACCTCATCTGGGCTTGTGTTGTGCTGCGCAGACGCCCTCCTTTTTACCTTTCGTTTCAACATTTCATGGGTGGTGGGCATAACGACTGCTACCAGTGAAGCATCGGGCGTCCCCGCGTCAGGCGGCGGGGAGCACCCCGCGTGGCAGGGGGCTCAGGGCGATAGCTATTGCCGGCCTGGGTCCCGCGGACTCAGTCTCCTGCCCCGTCGCAGAGGATCTGACCTTAGCGTGGGGGTCTTCTTCAATTTAGCTAGCGATTCGTTAGATACGCGTTTGGCGGCACTGGGCCGACTCACCCGCAGGTGCGGGCCCTCTTGCCGTCAGTGCGGCTGATGGTGAAGAGAGCGTGGACGAATAGGCGACAGGTTTTGAACACAATTGCATGCTTGCTCCGTGCGCGGAGGCTGGGCTTTCGAAACGGCTCAAGAAAAATTGCAGGTCTCGGTTGGGTAGGAGTTTGCGAGAGAGGCATAGGTATCTACGCTACGAATGTCGGCATTTTTGATTCTTTGGGGGCCCTCGGTTCTGCTCGAACGAACGTGCAGGGAACCAGTTTCAGGTTGAACGAGTCCGGATGCAAGCCGGCCGCGCGCTGTGTAGGCGTCGCAATGCACGCGGCTCTTGGGGGCGCGGGCAGCCCGCGCCGGGGGTGTGTGTCCGTGCCCCTTCCCCTTAGTGCTCATTGCTTTCAGCGGTGTGTGCCCTGCATAACGGGGGCACTGCGCGCCCGGCGCGGTGTCCCCTCAGATACGCCGATGCGCGGAATGGCGTCGGAGAAGTTGCAGCGCAGGAATTCCATCCACTGATTTTGGGGACTTTGACCAATCCGTCAAGGACAGGCTTTTAGGGTCCTATTTGTGTCCTGGTGTAGAGTGCCTTCGCCGTGGGATTGAGACGCCCGAAGAGCGTGGCGAAAAGGGTGGATGCGGCGCGCCTGAAATCTGGGGGGAGGGGGTTCCGAGGGTCCGGGGCGGTCAGTAGATGTTTGGCACCATAAAGAGAAATTTGCAGAAGCGAGGGGAGGGGGGACAAATCGCCTGCAAGAATAAGGACTGCTGATAAAGGGCGTTTTTCGCAAACGTCGTGGTGGATTCATTAGGCCCCGCGGGGATGTCGAGGGTCTTGGCATGTCAGATGTGGGCGGAATGTGGGCGTGGTGTCCCGACACATCAGCTGGAATCGTCTGAGTTGCACCACCCGCAACAACGCCAATTCCCTGTGGTGACCTCAGAAGATGTTGAGGGATGACTGTCTTGTAAGACGCCTGGTTGCATTGTGTGGGCACATCCACGAGGGCGCACTGCGGCCCTGAACGGGACGTTCGCCCTGCCTGCTCCTGTTTTTCGCGCCAATTCCGTGTCATCTGGATGCTAAGTTGGGCGGCCTGTGATGGGGCATGGCCAGCCTGGGGTATGAAGACTCCGCCCACAAATCCATCGGCTGTTGGTCTCTGAGTGCACATTCAAACACGGTTGACGACCTGGTGGTGTCAAAGCGCAACAGTGTGGGCTCTGGAAGCTGCGCTTTCGTGTACATCGGACGCAGTACGAAGTTAATGTCCCTCAGGCTTGTCTACCCCGCGAGAATGTACAGCTCATCCCCCCAAAACTGGTATTCGGCTTTGACGTCCATTCTTGGCTCCCTCGCTGCAAAATGGAAACTTGAACATGAAGTACAAATGGAAAACACCGGAATTCTTTTCCCCGCTCCATGCTCAGCCACCACATTCTCCAGACGACGGCTGAGCCACTGGAGACCACACCTGGTTCTGCCGATTCAGACAACACCGCGTTTACTCCCATGCGCTATCTGGAGCAGTATTTTCTATACGTTCTTTTTCTGTGTGGCAGCCGCCCTGCGGCCACACAGATGCAAGTGTTGGCACCCAGATCTGGCCGCCCAACTCCAGTCGCTGTGCGCCATGGGGCTCCACCAAGATGCAGCAAGCCGATGTGAGGACGAGCATGCCACCTGAAAGTGAAATGTGCATCCATGCCTGCGAGCACGGGCGTGTTGTCGAAGAGATCGAGCTGCGTTGTCCAGCGGCTCGCGAGAGCTGTCCGCCAGACAGAAAACACAATGTGATTGATGCAGGTGCCCAGTCGACGAACATTAATATCGTACAGCATTACAGAACCAGCCAACACACTGCCCATTTCACAGCCATCTGCAGTTCCTTCGGGAGGAAGGCCAAACTACCAGCAGGTAGCCAACCACGAACGTCGTCCATCAGCAGATCACCCATCGGCACCAATGCTCCCCATAACGCTACAGGCAGCATGAGACGCTCTGTCCGCACCCCTTGCCCTTCATACTGCCCTAAGCATGACGATGGGGTGTGGCATGGCCAAGCCGCCGTCGGATAGGGGCACATGCGATCACAAGTGCATGATGTGGCTGGCCTCATGGAGCACAAATGTGGACATGTATGGCAACTCCTGGATGTGACGGACCGCCTGTGCAACTCCGCACTGCAGGCACGTCATCCCCAAGACTGCTGGCCTAGCATCCAGAACCAAACCTCCTTGGAAAACATTCATGGCAGCTGGCAGGCAGAACTGCATAGGCAGCCGGAACAATGCACGGCAAGCAGTGCCACCACAGTGATAGCACGCCAGCGACAAGCCCAAACCAAGAAGAGACCCACCCCACATGCCAACGCCCACCAGTGCACCCAGAGCTCACACCACACCAACCGCACGAGCTGTAATAGATGCTCGAGCACTGAGCTATGCAGTCCCCACATGCACTGAGTTTGGAAAATGGAAGGCACGTACAGCCGGCCGGCTGCTCTGTGCCTAACCGCCATGTTGTCTGAAGGGAGCAGAAGGACATGCCTTCATAGAAGTTGCAGCTGCCAGTTGCCAGTCTTCTGTGGTTGCCCAGGTTACTCAAGGGTGCTCTAGTACGTAATGTACAAGATGCCATCCTCGTCCTTGTGTTCAACATATAGAGTCACCATCAATACAGCTGCACACCAAACGACAACCACTTCAGTGCACAGATGGTGAAGGGGTTGGTTCCTGTGACAAGTGCCAAACACAGGCTGCAGCATTGCTGTTTTGTGCCTGCCAGGCAGATGCAGCAGCCAAAAAATACACCAGAAGAAGTCGCAAGAAGTGCTTTGGACAAGGTGCCACAAGCGAAAGTTGACCGTGCACAGCCATCTAGCGCTGCTAGTCATTGTGCTGAAGGTTGCAAGCTCTTCAGTGGTGGTGCACACTCACATCAAATCCAAACTACCGAAGCTGTTTCAGCAAGGAGATCACAGGGTCTATCCAAAGTCACTTTGCCCTCAGGCCATGATAACGTTGTGGGGTGCACTTGACGAACATGAATGTTCTTCTCTGGGTCCACCTTTCTCAAATGACATGCACGAATTGGCCCATGGTGAATACCTGTGGGAAACATT